ATTAATAATAAAAAATCCAGCAAAAAAATGTCTATCGGTTGAATAGGGATGTTATCTTTCTTTCTCTCCTTTCTTCATTCCTTTTTCCTTTCCCTCTTTTTAACTTTTTTAAAACCAATGTTTGGAGTTTATATGCTTTCTTTCTTTTTGGTTAGTTTGGTATCTAAAAACCACCAGTTTTAATATCTTTTCAACCAATAAGCTCTTGATTTTGTTGATTTCCTCATGATAACATGGCATGTATTTTTTGTAGATATCTTCTATGATTATTATTTTCTTGTGTTTGATTTAGAATTACTCTTGTTTCTTTGCCTTTGTGATTTCAAAGCTTAGATTACTGAGATTTTTTTGTTTGGATTTTAGGTTTACTTTAAAAGATTTAATAAAATTCCCCAGATATTGTGGCACATGCCTATAATCCCAACACTCAGGATTTTAGGCAGAAGAATTCCCAACAAATCTGAGACCAATTTTGACTTCCTACCAACTTCTAGGCCAGATAGAACAAAAATAAGAAACTAACAAATAAAAATATTTAAAATATATTTAGTAAAATTAACAGTGAATATTTATTGTACATATTAATGGATTTCATTATGACATATTGTGGTTTTATCATATACACCCTTCCAGCTACTATTTTATTCATTTATCTTTTCTTACTTCTACAGAATATCTTAATGTTTTCTAATAGTCTCTCTAATACTGTCATGGATTTTTTCTTGTTGTTGTATTGTTCCTGTATTGTATTTTCCACATATTAATAAAAACACAAGATAGGTTTTTTTTTTTTGGTCTGGATGATTTCACTTAGAGACATCATAGTATCATCCATTTTCTTAAAAATTTTTCCTCTCCTTATGGGAAAATAATAGTCAATTGTATGTATGTATGAATGTACATATGTATGTATTCATGCCTGCATGTCTGTATCTGTCTATACACGTATAGTACATACACCATATTCTCTTCATTTGTTTATATGTTGATGAGATTGATGATTCCACATCTTAACTATTATTGAGCAGTGCTACAATAAACATGAATGTGCACACATTTCTTATGTATGTTTTGATTCTTTCGCTTATATAGCAAAGATGGTTTGTTGGGTGGTTCAATTTTGAGCTTTTTTTAAATTGAGCAACTGCCATACTCTATTTTCATAATGCCTGTATTATTCTCACTAATAATTTATAATTGTTCCTTTTTCTTGTATCTTGGTTACAATTTCTTATCACTACATTTTAAAATAATAGCCACTGTAACAAGGATGAAATGGAATCTGAGTATAACTTTGGTTTGAATTTCCTTGTTGGTAAACCATGCTGACAACTTTCCCCAACATATTCCCAACATAAAGTATTTGTAATTAATATTTTTATTTTGTGTGTGTGTGTATAAATGTATATCCATGTCCTATAGTACACATATAGAAATTGGAGAACAATTGGAAGTCAGTTCTCTCCTTCTACCATGTAAGTATAGGTGATTAGACTCAAGCTGTCTGTATTGGTGGCAACTTTACATACTGAGTCATGTCACCAACATTCCTTTCACATTATTGATCCATATAAATTACTTTATGCTACATTGGATTTTAGAAGTAGGCTGTACACACAGTAGTCACAGTTATGAATGAAGGCATTAGTTATGAAAGAACATAAAAGTAATGCACTTTCTGTTATTTTTATTGGGACATAGTTTCAACATTTGTTCAGGTTGGTTTCAAACTTGGGGTCCACTCAATCTCACTGACTCGGTTTCTTAAGCAGCTGGAACTACAGATCCACATAACCATACCTGGCTTCAGATGTATACTTCTTTTTAATTTTTAAGATCATTTTATTATATGTGTATGAACGTTTTACCTACATATATGTATGTGCACCATGTGAGTACTTGGTGCATGTGACATTAAGGTGATGGAACTCTTGGGGTTAGGATGAGTTAGTTAGTAGTTAGGATGAACCATCATGTGGATGCTTGGAATTGTTGTAATAGATTTTCTCAACTGCTAAGTCATCTCTCCAGCCCTGAAAATATATTTATCAATGAAATATATTCAGATTGACTCCACATGCTCATCCTACACATCAAGAAGCTTAACAGCAGACTCCCACAGAGACCATCCTTATACTTTTGTCCAAAATTCTCTCCCCTACAGTATATCTTGTGTACTGACATTGGAGAAAATAATTCCTTGCATTACTTTTAGCACTTTTGTATGTGGAAAAAGTATATATGCATCTCAACAATTTTGTATGTATGCATGAGCTTTATATTAATTCAACTATACTCAGTTGAGACTAGCATAAAACCTTTCCTAATCTTGTGTTCCGCCATAATGTTATGGCCATGAACTAGCTCTTTCCCTGTTATCTAATTCAGGTACCATAATCCCACTGGCTGGGAAGAAACACTTTATTTGGTGTGATGCCCATGTCTTCAAGCTCATCATGATCCCAGTGAGGGAGGAGGATGAGAAGAGAGAAAAGAGAAGACCTTGAGGAATACCTTCTTCCTTTAATTCTTCCCCCCGACCTGCTGCTAGGCCTGCTTTTGTGACAACAGATATAGAGGGCAGCACTTCAATGTCTGAGTTTTTTCCAGTTTTGCCTTTATCTGTTTCCCATCCTCTCCACTCCTTTTTCAAAACTGTGCCCAATGTGGTGGTACATACCTTTAATCCCAGCATTTTGTAGGCAGAGGCAGGCAGAGCTCTGTGATTTTGATGCCAACCTGGTCTACAAAGCAAGTTCCAGGACAGCCAGGGCTGCTATACGGAGAAACCTTGTTGAGAAAAACCTTTAAAAAATTGTAAAGAAAGCTTGTGAAAGGAATTCCTTCAGGCTCAGCACTTCTTGAAATATACATTTAAGAATGTATCCTCTTCCCAAATTTTGTCCTTTGCTTACTGTTTGTGCTGTTTTGAATTAGTCAATCTCTGTCTCTCTGTCTCTGTCTCTCTCTGTCTCTCTTTGTCTCTGTCTTTGTGTGTGTGTGTGTGTGTGTGTGTGTGTGTGTGTGTGTAACTTCACTCACAGTGAGGCACAGGACCCCTTTTCACTTAGAAATAAAAACAGGACTTCCACTGTATGTGCTTGCCTACTTGATTTGACATGGCTGTGCATCCTTCTGCAGAAGTGAAACTTTTTGCATTGCTGAAATGCTTTGAGTGGTTATTTTCTTGAAACCCAAAAACCTTTTCTAACCCTTCCCTCCATCTTTCCTTCCTTTCTTCATCATTTCACTGCAGCCCACGGTGGCCTCAAATGCAAAATCTCCCTGCTCTACATTTCCAAGTTCCAGGATCCTAAGTGTGCAATACTAACTTGTGATTATTTTTATAACTATTTGTTCACATTAAAATAGTTTGTAGATGTGATTGCATTGTTAAAACAGTAATTATTTGCTAGTTTGGAGGCTCATGTAAAATATGTTAAAGTTTTCATTATCTTGTTTATAAGCAAACTGTTAGGGACTCTTGTGATTTTTCTTTAAAGACTTGTATTCAACACCTCTGTGCCTTTTAAATTATCAAGGTTCACGTGGAACAAGTCAGTAACCTGGAATGCCTGACTAACAGTGACCCTAACCTGATAACCTACCTTCAGTCTAAAGAGAGGTGATGTTCACTTAGCACTTAATCACTGTAAAGTACTGCAAAGTAGGAAAAGCATATGGCAGTGTCATGAGTCACCTGGTTTAAAATTTATGTGTGTGAATGGTGTGTTAGCTGTGTGTTAAATGTATTTGTTATTGTGGGTACGTGCATGTGTTCCTGTGTGTTCATGTGTGTGAAGACCAGAGGTACATACATGCAGGATGTTTTCAGGAATTGCTCTCCACCTTTGTATTTGAGACATACTCTCACACTGAACCCAAAGCTCATTAGTTGTCGAGACTTGTTGGCCCATAAGCATTATGGATCCACCTGCATTTGTCCTACTCCATAACCCTAGATCTAGAAGGGGTCATAAGGACAGCCCAGGCAGAGACATGTCATAGACCTAGATATGCAAACTTAAAAGTTTGGGATGAGGCAAATAATCAAGTTTTCTCACATCTTTTGTTTTAATATACCCATCTTCTGCCACGAGAATTAAAACACACCAACAAGAAAATACAATTATTCAATGGACAGAGAAAATAGTTACTCGGGGGTAATAATCAACAAAGTATTCAAGAGTTATAAAAAGCTTACATCAATTACTGATGAGGATGCCCCCTTTACCTTCTCCGGCAGTGGATCATATTCTAGTGATGAGACAGAGACTCCTAACAATTTAACTCTAGGAGATCACCATGCCTTGTATTGCTTCCTCTACCATAAACTCTCTCAACATCTTAATATTCAGAAGTGGGGCAATGTAATCCACAGCCACATCGAAGTTCTAACCAAAATAAACCATCAAATTCACAAATACTTATTCCAGGGGTTGGGTGAAACGTATCTCTAATATTGACCACCACAGACATTCACTTTGAAGGTACATTCTGAATTCAGCATTCCTGGGTATTATAAAACACAAACACTGTGCAGAAATCAGCATGGTGACAACCAATATTACAAGCTAAAGAAGAGCTGGCGAGATGGGTTGATAAAAATGCCAGTTCGTCCTTCATGAGGACATGCCTTTGCATGGCCAGAACCCACGTAAAAAGCTGGGCAAGCCTCTATCCCTAAAGCTGGAGGTAGGGATGTCATCGGCTTTGTCCTGAATGTTCAGAACAAAGTTTTGTGTGTGTGTGTGTGTGTGTGTGTGTGTGTGTGTGTGTGTGTGTGTGTGTGTGAATTCACTGAGTACACGAGGAAGCAAGTGCGTGTTAAAAAATTCTCGGAGCATATTCTCTTTACATAAAATGATAGCCAGGATAGTCCGGGTTTACTCCAGGGAAAAGAAGCCAGAGTTAAGGGGGTTCTGTGGTCAGAGTTTGTCAGTTGAGCTCCTTTTGAAGAGGAAAAAAACCGAAGTGCCGATCGATTGAAGGAGGCGGGTCGCTGCCATTCACCAATCAGAGACGCTGTTACTCTCCTGCACGAACTGTCCAATGAGGAGCGCGGACAGTCAGAGGTTGCCGCCATTGCCGCCCTGTTTGAGTCCTGTGTAGCTTCAGGGAGGCCGGAGGTGGATTGTTGTGGTTGGTTGTGCGTTCTGCAGTCTGTAGGCTCTTTAGAAAGGACACCTGCTCACGCCCGAAGCAGGAAATGGTGAGTGTACCCTGGGCTCCTGGAGTCGTGTGTGGCGGATTTGTGACACTGCGGAGGCTTTGTCACAAAGTGGCGGCGCCGCCCTGACGTTCCCCTGGAGCTGTCTGTGCTGCAGAGTCTGAGGTGGAGGCTGTCACCATCGCCCTCAAACCCACGAGCATTTTAATTGAGTGCCCAGTAGGCAGTGGAGAGCCTGGGTCGGTCCGTCGGTCCGGTCCTGCCCAGCCCTGTCCTGCCCTTCTGAAGCTGTGTCATCTGGTCCCCAGAGCTCTCAGGGTGAGACTGCGCCTCCCCAGACATTGCATCGCAGGCGAGTTGGTGCTGAGGATGCTCTGTAGAGTTCAGACTGCTGTGGAGGGAATTCAGTGATGACCGCTGTACTGGGCATTGAACCTCAGGCCTGGCTCATTCTAGGCAGACCTTTTACCTCTCAACTGTAACCCGGTCCCGCATCCTGGCTTTTGCTGTTTGTTAAGTGTTAATGAAGGAATATTTGTTTGCCTCCTCTGGCTGAGAGTGGGAGAAAACGCCCAGGCTTTCAAGGAAGAGGGAATTTTGAATTTGCTTCAAGATGGTTTGTTTTCACCTATCAACTTGGTAGTTAATTGCCTAGGCAAAAGTGGAATTTTTGGAAAATGCCTCCAGCATTGCTGGCTGTGAAAAAAAAAAAAAGCATGAGATGAGAGGAATAGTTTAGATGTATAAGAAAAAAAAATGTTTGTTTTGCTCTAGACTTCAACAAACAGAAGGAATTGTGAGGTGGGAGTTTTTGTTATGTATATTTTGGTCTCATTGTTATGAATATGCTTAAGTTGTTTATATCTTCGATTTAATTTTAGTATGTTGTATATGACTCAGAATTTAACTACTTAATTTGACACATTATGCTTTTTCTTTTCATTTCTCTTTCTTTCTTCCTTCCTTCCTTCCTACCTTCCTTTCTTATTTATTTATTTTGGTGTGTGTTCAAATATTAGCAAATGGTCCTTCGCATTTCACTGGACTCTCTAATTTATGACTCATTTTTATTAATCTCTGTCTCCCTTCTCTTTTCATTAGCTGGACTAGAGTTTTGCCTATCTTACTGTTTTTTTTTTTTTTTTTTTAAAGAACCACCTGTGAAATTGAGTTTGACTGTATTATACTTTGAGTTTCTATTTCATTTTTCCCCATATAGTTTCTATTTCTTGCTGTCTTTGCTTTTGAATCTGGCTCATTCCTGTTTTCCTAAGACCTTGTGTTTGCATCATTAAGTTGAGTTGTTTATTTCACATGTCTCTGAGTTCCCAATGTGTCTCTCTGGAAGCTGAGGTTACTTTTTTGACTCTTTAGTCTCTTTAATTTAAAAATAAAATAAAGATGGACTTAGAAGGAAACAGAGGACAATTAATTAGAGTTTGAGGGGGGAAAGAAAACTCAACAGGACAGGCAAGCTTTTAGTATTGGCATTTGTCATAAGGTAACAAAAAGGATAAAAAAAATCATTCCTTTTAATTTTGATATGGAGATCAGAGAAACAATGAGGAAGCCCAGGGTATTAAGGAAAGCATACTTTCTAAATGTTGAGACTTGGATCTTAGTTTAGAGAGGACCAGATTCCAGGGTCTTTTTTCCTAGAGTGAGGGATTGCACTAGAGACACATGGTTAGAAACAGAATATAGACAGCTTATTGAGAAAGGAAAGGCACTCTCAAGAATAAGAGTTAACTAGTGAGCTAAGGAAGGTTCCCCTAAAGGCTGAGGGAATGTGATCCATGGCACGCTGATACATTTGCAGAAGGGTCTGCTTCTCTCTAGTGTGTATACCAGGAACTTTTCTTGAGCATGCTCTGTTCCTTTGTAAAAGTCCCGATAGCAAACGGCTTCTGATCTTCCTTTGTAGACTGGCTTCTTCCATATAGTAATCTTCACATAGCTTTTTTTTTTCAGCTTCTATTTTGTGTATAAACTTACCTCTTGCTACTGTCTTTTTTTCCCACCTGCATTAAAAAGATTCCTCCCACATACAATATATCCTGATTATGATTTCTCCTCCCTCTACCCCTCTCAGTTCCTCCCCGCTTCCTCTTCCATCTGGATCTACTCCCTTTCTGTCTCTCATTAGAAGACAAATAGGTTTCTAAGGAATGATAATAATAAAATAAGATAAACAAAAATTAACGCATCTGAGTTGGACAAGAAAAACAGAAGGAAAAGAGCCAAGAGAAGGCACAAGGATCAGAGACCCACTCATTCACACACTCAGGAATCTCATTTAAAAAAAAAAGAAAGAAAGAAAAGCTGGGTGGTGGTGGTGCATGTCTTTAATAACAATATTCAGGAAGCAGAGACAGGTAGATTTCTATGAGTTTGAGGCCAGCCTGGTCTACAGAGCTAGTTCTAGGACAGCCAAGACTATCAAAGAAACCCTATCTCACACACACACACATACACACACACACACACACACACACACACACACACACACACACACACAACAAAACACTAAACTGGAAGCCATAATATATGCACAGAGGACCTGGTGCATGCTGCTTCAGTCTCTGAGTTTATATGAGCTTTGCTAGGGTTGATTTTAGAGTGTTTTGTTTTCTTGGTGTTCTCCATCCCCACTGGGTTCTATACTCTTTTTGCCTCCTCTTCCAACGTGTTCTCTAAACTCTGGGGGAGGGATTTTATTGAGGCATTCCATTTAGGGCTGAGTGTTCCAAGGTCTCATTCTCTGAATAATATTTGGCTGTGGGTCTCTATTTGTTCCCATATGCTGCAGAAGAAGCTACTCTAATGATGGCTAAGCAAGGCGCTGATCACATATCTCTTTCTGGGTCTGGAATACCTCACTCAGGATATTTTTTTTTTTTCTAGTTCCATCCATTTGTCTGTGAATTTTATTGATTCTTTTTTCTTTTTTTATAAATATTTTTATTTTATAATTAATTTAATTTTACATATCAGCCATGAATTCCCCTGTCCTCCCTCCTCCCAACCCCCAGCCTTCCCCCCAATCCACTCCCCATTCCCACCTCCTCCAAGGCAAGGTCTCCCCTGGGGATTCAGCACAGTCTGGTAGATTCAGTTGAGGCAGGAGGTGCAGTCCTCTCCTCCCTGCACCAAGGCTGAGCAAAGTGTCTCAGCATAGGACCTAGGTTCCAAAAAGCCAGCTCAAGCACCAAGGACAGTTCCCAGTCCCACTGCCTGGATGCCTCCTAAACAGTTCAGGCTCTTCAACTGTCTCACTTATCCAGAGGGCCTGGACCACTTCAATGGGGGCTCCTCAGCTATTGGTTCATAGTTCATGTGTTTCCGCTAGTTTGGCTATTTGTCCCTGGGCTTTTTCCAATCATGGTCCCTATAATCCCTCCTCTCTCCTCTCTCTTGCTGGTTAGACACCTGGAGCTCCACCTGGGGTTTGGCTGTGGATCTCTTCATCAGCTTCCACCAGTCACTGCATGAGAGTTCTATCATGACAGTTAGGGTGGTCGGCCATCTGATCACCAGAGTAGGTCAGCTCAGGCACTCTCTTGACCATTGCCAGTAGTCTATAGTGGAAGTATCTTTGTGGATTTCTGGGGACCTCTCTAGCACTCTGCTTCTTCCTATTCCCATGGGGTCTTCATTTATCATGGTGTCTCTTTCCTTGTTCTCCCACTCTGTTCCTATTCCAGCTGGGACCTCCCACTCCCCTAAGCTCTCTTTCCCCTGACCCTTGCCCTCCATTACCCCCTCCTTCACCCCCAGTTTGCTCATGTAGATCTCATCCATTTCTCTGTTGCTGGATGATCCCTGTGTCTTTCTTAGGGTCCTCTTTACTAGGTAGCCTCCCTGGAGTTGTGAGTTGCAGTCTGGTTATCATTTGCTTTACATCTAGTATCCACTTATGAGTGAGTACATACCATGTTTGTCTTTCTGTGTCTGGGTTACCTCACCCAGGATGACATTTTCTAGTTTCATCCATTTGCCTGCAAACCTCATGATATCATTGTTTTTCCCTGCTGAGTAGTGCTCCACTGTGTATATGTACCACATTTTATTTATCCATTCTTCAGTTGAAGGGCATCTAGGTTGTTTCCAGGTTATGGCTATTACAAATAATGCTGCTATGAACATAGTTGAGCATGTGTCCTTGTGGTATGATTGAGCATTCCTTGGGTATATGCCCAAGAGTGGTGTAGCTGGGTCTTGAGGGAGGTTGATTCCCAATTGTCTAAGAAAGCGCCATATTGATTTCCAAAGTGGTTGTACAAGCTTGCATTTCCACCAACAGTGGAGGAGTGTTCCCCTTGCTCCACATCCTCTCTAACATAAGCTGTCTTCAGTGTTTTTGATCTTAGCCACTCGGACGGGTATAAGATGGTATCTCAGAGTCATTTCCCTGAGGATTAAGGATGTTGAGCAATTCCTTAAATGTCTTTCAGCCATTTGAGCTTCTTCTGTTGAGAATTCTCTGTTTAGCTCTATAGCCCATTTTTTAATTGGATTGTTGGGTATTTTGATGTCTAATTTTTTGAGTTCTTTATATATTCTGGATAATAGCCCTCTGTCAGATATGGGGTTGGTGAAGATCTTTTTCCATTCTGTAGGCTGTTTTGTCTTATTGACTGTGTCCTTTGCCCTACAAAAGCTTCTCAGTTTCAAGAGGTCCCATTTATTAATTGTTTCTCTCAGTGTCTGCTACTGGTGTTATATTTAGAAAGTGATCTCCAGTGTCCATGCATTCAAGACTACTTCCTGCTTTCTCTTCTATCAGGTTTAGAGTAACTGGATTTATGTTGAGGTCTTTGATCCACTTGGACTTAAGTTTTGTGCACGGTGATAGATATGGATCTATTTGCAGTCTTCTACATGTTGACATCCAGTTATGCTAGCACAATTTGTTGAAGATGCTTTCTTTTTTTCATTGTACAGTTTTGGCTTCTTTGTCGAAAATCATATGTTCATAGGTGTGTGGATTAATGTCAGGATCTTCAGTTTGGTTCCATTGGTCCACATGTTGGTTTTTATGC